ACGGCTCGCTAATGCTTCTGAACTATTTGGATTAATTTCTAATGATTTATCTAAATCACTTAGTGATTCACTATATCTGTTCATTATGTAATAAGTAGCTCCACGCTGCCTTAATGCTTCCGAATTATTTGGATTAATTTCTAATGATTTATTTAAATCTGCTAGCGATTCTTCGTATCTATCCATCATGTAATAAGTAACTCCACGTTCTGTTAATATAGTTGCATGGTTTGGATTAATTTCCAATGATTTATTTAAATCTGCAAGTGATTTTTCGTATCTATTCATCATTCTATAAATTACTCCACGGCCTGCTAATGAAAAGACATTCTTTGGATTAATTTTTAATGATTTATTTAAATCTGCTAATGATTCTTCGTAATTATTTATCTTGCGATAAGTTACTCCACGCTGCCTTAATGCTTCTGCATTGTTTGGATTAATCTCTAATGATTTATTTAAATCTGATAGTGATTCTTCGTATCTGTTCATCATGCGATGAGTTACACCACGCTCTGCTAATATAGCTGCATTATTTGGATTAGTTTCTAATGATTTATTCAAATCTGCTAGTGATTCTTCATATCTTTTCATCATCCTATAAGTTACTCCACGAGCTGCTAAAGCAAATACACAATTTATATTAATTTCTAATAATTTATTTAAATCTGCTAATGATTCTTCGAATTTATCCATCTTGCGATAAGTTATTCCACGCTCTGCTAATGTAACTTCATTATTTGGATTAATTTTTAATGATTTGTTTAAATCTAATAATGATTCTTTGTATCGGTTCATCATACGATAAGTTATCCCACGCTCACTTAATGTAACCGCATTAGTTGGTTTAATTTTTAATGATTTATTAAAATCTATTAATGATTCCTTATATTTATTCATCTTGCGATAAGTTACACCACGCTTACATAGTGCATGTGCATTATATGGATTAATTTCTAATGATTTATTTAAACTTGCTTGTAATTCTCTGTATTTACTCATCTTGTGATAAGTTAATTCCACGGGTTGTTTGAAGCAAAAGTATTAAATTAATTTTTAATGGATTATTTAAATTTTATTGTACCGTATATTCCTCAAAATAAATTACGGTGCAAGAAATCTAGCTACCTACGGTCATCTTTTTAAATGTCCGTATAAGCAGGTAGCACATTGAAATCAAATATTCCCTAAATTATTAATTTTAATAAAGTGTATACGTAAAAGTCAATGATTTAATAAATATTTGAAATTAATCGAATTCTTGATTATACACAAACTTTATTTATAAAGAAATTGTGGGTTTGTTTTTTTATTTCTTTTACCGGACCTTTTTTTGGATAATTTTTAGCACAAGAAATTAAAAGTACGGAGCTTATTTTTGGGGTTGACTTTTTTAGGAAATTTGTACTCAATAAGAGGATATCTTATTTTTGTATTAAAGCAATTAGGCTCAATATTTATTTGTTGATATACTCCAGTATGCATCGCGATACAAATAAATCACTCTTTTAGTAATTTCTATGAAATGTCTACGGAATGAGCAGAAATCGTATCGAATTACTACACATGCTAGTAGCCCACATAGGATTTTAATAATTTTTAGCAGCTTGATAATTTGACCTTCCAAATTTCGAATAAATCTACGAGTGAGCACATACTATTTTTGCTAATTTATTTAAAGTATAAATAATAAATACCTAATTGTTTAAATGAGGAATATACAATAAAAGTATGAAGAGAATATATCAGATGCAACAGTAAACAATGAATTGAAGCTGGTAATTGATGAATTTGCGTGTAAGCATTTGATTTGGTCAAAAGCCTGCAATTTTTTATTAGAGCAACAAACGAATGGCTTAAACAGTATTAAATTAAGTCTTATATTAGTACAAAATTAGATGACTTAGGATAGTAAAACATCAACCAAAAGTATAGAATAAAGTATAGAATGAGTGAAATAAAAACCACGGTTGATAAATTACGTTATCACAGAACCGAAAGTAAATAGTAGTAGCCACAGATTATATGACGAAATGGCCTTTATTTATAATAAAATATTTACATTGTCACAATGAATTTTACCAACAGAATCACCCTAATCATCCGAATCATCCTTATCAACTTTACTACCTGATCCTATCTTTTGATAATGATCATCCCTACTATCTTCTACCTGGAAACCCAAATTCGTGGCCCCGAACCTGGTTTTAACGTTTCTCCAAATTTTGGAATACCCGACGTTACGTATCACGTGTATTGTCAGCTCAACAATGCTGCAATGTATTCTTAAAGGCATGCTATGATGCGCAGCACGTTGATAATCACATGGGCAATCTCGATGCCAACAGTACATGCGAGATACGTAGTAAATTTTAATGAAATGCCTAATAAGGACAACAGGGCATGAGTACTAATATAACCAAAATTGGGCTACAGTATAATGATACGTACAGATACTGTAAATAAAAGCGGCATAATTGAGCATTGAAAACAGCCCCGCAAGTTAAAGATATTCGCATCCTGCCCCCTACCTAGAGATGTACCATTTATATAATAGCTCAATTTTTTTCGCGTACAGTAAGAATAGTACGTATAGTATTTTATATAGTATAATAGACCTAAGCACATGACCGGCCTTTATCATAAAATAGCTTACAAATATGAAATGCATAGACGAGTAGTCCATATAAAGCGATTGAATTCTTTTTTAAATTAATAGCTCTGTGCTTACTTTAAAATATTGCATATACATGCGGAATTCTCTTCGAAAACATGGATGAATTGTATCTGAAACTAAAATTTCATATAGAAAAATAATTCTATAGCAAACGAGGAAGCATGCTTAAAAATTATTGAAGGCTCATCGAAGTAATGATTCAAATCATATTGTTATAAAAGATCAAAAAAATTGACGAGAAACATGCAAAATTTATAAAGGAAGAGTTGATATCATCGGTACTAGTTCTAAATCAGAAATTTTTATTAATGAAAAACTCTTAAATTTCATACTTTATATACTTTAAAAAATAAATGACATAATGAAAATGAGACATAGCACTTTTTCGCTAAAGAATTTAAGAATTTCAACTACTAATTTATAACATTGATTACTTGTGGAAAAGCTTGGAAACTGGATTTAGGAATAGCCAAAGCGTGAGTTTATTGCTTTATAATTTGGATTACTTTAGAGAAATCACTGAACAATACAGTCGTGAGGCTGGAGACTATGCTTTAATAGAATTATCAAAGTTAATTCAAAATAAATATGTTTGTTATAAAGATGTTTTTTTTTCAGATATAGGGGGAAAAAGATTCTTCTCATCTATTCAAAATTAGAGTTGACCTATGAAACTGCTAAGGAAATTCGATCATCTACTGAAATTATCCGTTTATTTTTAAAGACAAAAAATTGCCGTCGATTACGTTTAGCATTGGTGTCTCTGAAGTAAATTCTTCATTAAAAAAAGTCTAAGGATTTATTGAACCATGCCGAAAAAGCTTGTAAAAAGGCTAAAGAATATGGTCGCAATCGGATAGTAATATGTGAGAATAAACAAATTTTAATCCTTATGTATATATCAATTATTTGATTTATATTTATAAATTTACATTAGTATTTAATACTTCATTTTTATTTTTAAACCAAAAATTATAGTAAATATTCTTTTTATTCTGTTATGTATTAATATAGTTATTTTGACAAATTTTCAAAAGGAATCATGATGATTTGTAACCAATTTTTTCAGGATCTTTTAAAATATTTAAATTTTTCTTTATACTCGAAATTCGCTGGAAGTGGTAATCATTGGGATCAAAATAATCTTGGAATATGCTACAAAGATGGACTAGGCACAAAGAAAGACTTTCGAAATGCTTTTGAGCGGCTTCAAAATCTGCCGAAGGTGGAAACCAACAAGGACAATGTAATCTTGGACATTGTTATCGTGATGGAATCGGCACTCAAAAAACCATTCGGAATCATTGAAATTGAAGATGGAAATCGTCAGCACAAGTTATTCTAACAGACTGGGTTCGAAAAGGAGTGTATGATATAAGCGAAGATATGGTCCAATTTCTCCATGAATCTGCTAATAGTGGAAGTCATTTATGGCAAAGACTGATTGCTTTGTGTTTTCTGTTTGGAATCAGAGTAGATAAGGATGATGCAAAAGCTTTTCAATGGGCCAAGAAATCTGCACTGGGTGGATGTTCTTTAGGGCAAAATAATCTTGGACATTGTTTTCAAAACGGAATCGGTGTCGAACAAGATGATGCAAAAGCATTTGTTTCTACAAAAATTCTGCAATGGGTGGAGATACAACTGGACAGTACAACCTTGGATTTTGTTATCAAACCGGAATTGGAGTCGAAAAAGTGATGCGAAAGCATTCGGTGGGACGAAAAATCTGCGCATGGTGGAGATATAAATGGACAGTACAAACTTCAAATCTGCGCAAAGTGGAAGTATGTGATCAAAACGGAATTGGAGTCAATAGGATCAGAGAGCACCGAAAAATTCGAGCAAGAAGGAAATATAAATAGACAGTACTATATTGAAGTCTGTTATCAAAAATGGAATTGGGTCAAAAAGAATGATTCGAAAGCATTTCAGTGGTATGAAAAATCTGCCCGAGTTAGAAATATAAATGGACAGCATCAACCTGGAATTTATTATCTAGACGGAATTGGGGTCAAAAAAATAGGAAAATAATATGCGAGTGACTGCATATGGTGGAAATCATCAAGCACATACGGTATTATAATTAAAATTACGAACACCATTTCACCTCAAATCCCGCCATTCCACCATTTCTACCAAAAGAGAATAAAGTTTTAAACATAGATAAAAATGGCACTTAATTTTTGGTGAAAAATTACCTTTAATTGAACCTCAACATTATTTTATACTTAGTAACCATATTACTCAACCAAAACTATCATCTCAAGAAATTCTTGCAAGTGTGGCTGCAGTTCTTCCATATATTCGACAGAAAGTTATAATGTTTGGAGTTGATATTTTTAAAGCCGAAAACTTTGCAAGGTTAGTCAATGAAGAAGATGAAGAATCTTCTGATGATGGATCAAAGGATGAAAGCAAAAGGTTAATAAAGAAAAACAGATTATCTAGATTTGATTGCATTGCTACTTTATTTGCTTCTGCTGAACCTACTGTTGTACAAGATATCTTTCGAACTATATCTCAAGTTCTGATACCAATCTAGATAAGGCAGAGAAGTTTAATAATTCCTTTATATACAGGGCCAGCTATCGAATGGTATACAAGCAATGGATCAATTGTAGAAAATCTTTTTGAAGATTCATGAAAAATAATTGTTGTAGTTCGGATCGGAATGATTACTCAAGGCAAAAGTACTATACTTAATCAGTTTATGACTTCAAAATATATATTCACATCATCTGAACCAAGAGCCGATCACGGAATTCCGCATATGATTAACAGAAGTGTTGAGTTTGTTTGGTTGACAGAAGAGACTTGTGGTGCCGATCTATGGGATAGTATGTTTAAAATTATGAAGAAGGAGAAAATAGATATATTGTTTGCAAATTGCATGGTGATGTCTTAAATTATCCAGATCAAAAAGAATTTCTAAAACAATTGCCTTCTTGTTTCTTAGTTTTTCTTAATGACTGGGCATGATGAAAATCAAAAAATAGGTTCAGAGATTTAATTGGTTCAAAAAAGGTTATATACAGCTATGTGAATCCTGAGAACGACGTAGATAGTGTGGATAATTATACAATTGTTACAAATTCTTTGATGAGTAATGAAACAGTAAAAAAAAGTTTGTAAAATGTTTAAAGATATCTTAGATCCTGATCCAGCTAAGCCTGGTAAATTTTTAATTAATACGTTAATTTGCTGAATAGTGTGTTGAATCTCGGGAAATTATAAATTTCGTTAAAGAAAAAACTTGTCGACATATTAAAATGGAGTTTATGTAACTCCAAAAAAAAACAAGGTGGACCTGATTGCGTAAAATTTTTTGGGAACGCACACCAGAATTGAAAGAATTAATGCGAGTAAGAAGAAGAGCTCTAGCGCATTTTGAAAAAGAGATATCCAGGCTTTCTGCGGTAGATTCTTCCAAACCTCGAAATGATGCTATATCGAAAAAGAAAGAATTAAATAATGTAAACATTGTGAATAATGAAATGATCAAGAAGAAAAACAAGATTCGTTAAGAAATTAAAAACTTTGGGAAGAGGTTAATAATACTAACTTGGGAGTCGAACATTTCTTTCGTGAATTAGGACATGTGTAAAAAATTTTTGTTTCTGATCCAAAAAAATTATTTCTGACAATGGTTTAACTAAAAAAAAAAAATTTAGAATTGGTTGATGTCGATGCTGCAGCTATATCTGAAGTTTGGTTCTTAGCCGTTTGTAATTGTATTAACAGAAAATTTCCCAAACTCAAGATTTTTGTAATTAGTATACCTGGATTACAATCTTCAGGAAATTCTACTCTTCTAACTACTTTTTGGATGCAAATTTGCTGTTTCAGCTGAACATTGTACTAGAGGGGATTTTTATTCAATTCTTATTTTTGTAAAAGACTTATCTAATCAACTTGGTGTTGATGCCTTTATCTTGATTGACACCGAGAGGCTTGGTGGACCAGGTTAAATTAGTAGGTTTACGAAGCAACTTTGATAGTTTGTTTGCTAATACGAAGGCGCTCCGGAACCCGTTTTCCTGGTTTAATACATTATTCACAACCTATTTACTTGCTTACTCATACACCACAACTATTCGTAACTATTCCCGGGGCATAGGGAGAATTTTCTGGGCACGAAAAGCGATAACACGCGTAATGCCAATCATTACATATAATTTCAGAATTAATTGAACTTATTATGTGGCATTTTGTTTAAAAAAATACATACGTGCCAGTAGCGATATCGCCGGGATACTATATCTCAAAAACTTTCTATTTAACACACGTCAGGGATACCAAATGAAAATGTTCGGGACAACCCTAATTAAAATTTGGACGTTTATATCTCACTATAACCTTGGTTTAAAGATAGCCAACCGGCGGTAAATACTAAATAACATCGTACAAAATCATTATTTTTGACCGCTTGACCCATATGTTATTTACCCACCCTTAAAAAATATTCACATCGTTTCTAACCCACGCAATGTTACACGACAATAATTGTACGCATATCTCAAATTCGCTGAAGAAAAAAATTATACGATATATATTATTTAGCATTTTTATATCCTAGTATATCGCGTTCAACTACTATCGCTATGAGAATTCATAACATGATTAACTTGCCCGTATTATTAATTTGGTCAAGAAATATTCATTGTTTAGTGTATTAAATAATTTAATTTCAATTTTTTCTTGCTTGAAAATTATACCCAATTTATCTAATTCTCATGGCTAAGCCCATCACTACTCATGCTTTATCTTGTTAACGGGTGCAGGTCAAAATCCCGACAGGTCATAATCCCGACAAAAA